GTCTTAGTTTGTTTACTATGAATTGATGACAAATTTTGAATTGAGCATTATAAATTGTGCATTGTTTTGTGTTAAATTACTACCACGAGGTTGTTACACTATGTAAATACGTATTATATATTAGAGTCCTATCCATCCTGTAACAGAAGAATGTTACCAAACGTTAAAAATGGTTCGGAAGTTGTTAATATATAAATTTGACGTTGTGATTTCGAGATTGATGTCGGGTTTGGTTTTTACGTCGTTACTCCAAAATATCGTGACAAGGAATCATTACACGTTCAGAAAGTCGGGTGTAACTCGCCGCATTATTCTGCACTCCTCATCCCAACAGTGGTAGGAAATTACCAGGGTGTCGTTTACAACAAGTTTTTTATGTGTGGGGAATATAATGCACGAAATGCATAAAAAACTGCGTAAACTGCTGTTGCGGAAAAGCTAGTTGGTTTCTAAATTCGACCACTTTCTCTCGAATTTTGTCTGTCAGATAACTAAAATTGCAATGAAATATGAACGGTAAATTTTTTAGTTTTGTCTACAAAGTTTACTAATTGTAAAAAATTAGATGAAAGTCAGGTTAAAAGTCTATTATAAATTTACACGGGTCACCGGCAAAGTTTCCTTATTTTGCCAACTTTACAAAACAATTTTCCAAAAATTGCACAGTTTACAAAAATCCTAGGGAATTATTCCCTCCCAATTTTTCCCATTTCCTGCGAAATCCTGTCCATGCACTTCCAAAGTAATGAAGACATCAGCCAAGATTGGGGAGGATTGCGTGTCAGGAGACATCAACGGTGTCGTGGTCCATGAGGCGAACCGCACAAGCAGGGCACGCTCACTGGGACCTGCAGAAAGGATGGGGCCGATTTTTTACCGGATTTTTTACCCTGTAAGATATAAGAGGGATAAAACGTGAGCTTGTATCTGTACGTAACGCCTCGAGAGACGGCATCCGTTCTGCACAGCCACCACGAAAATTTTGCCCATAATTCTTCCTCCCAAGCATCGTCGCCAGTTCGACACGGTGTGGTTGAGTGGTTGGTGTGCATTAAGTCATTACTTTTTACGTAACCGTGATGACTTTAGGATTTTGGGAGTGTGTGGTGCGGTCTTTAATTTTATTACGTCACATTTTTCATGGGCTCTGGTCATTTCCCTTTTGTTTTCAGGTTGGGATTTTATGTCCATTTTTTACCCAGTTTTTGGACTTCCTCTCGTCTCGGGAAATAGAAATCGCTCTATTTTTTGGGAGGCGACGAGTGCTTCGATTTTTTTAGGTAGATTTGCGTGTGGTGTGTGGATGGATGGGATGTAAAAGTTTTATGTGCTTATTTTTGTGTTTGTTTCTTAAAGAAATAGTGAAATCTGACCTGAAACAAAGGAGTGTTTGAGACGGAATAATGCGAGCAGATGGGTAACGAGAAGAAAGATTTATGAAAAAATGAGAGATTATGGGTTGAAATTTTCATAAATAATGTGACAATTTGTCTCTCATCATGAGAATTTCACGTTGAGAAAACTTGGAATAAAAAACTCTTCAAAAAAGTGAAATCCGACAAATTTATAGATTTCTGAAAATAAAAAGCAATTTTTTTATTTTTTTAAAGCATAATTTAGTGCTAATCAATTTAGTCAATTGGTTTGGTTTGAAATTAGATTTCACAAAAAAGAAGGTCTGTCTCTCCGTTAGTAATTTTGTTTGGACACGAGCCACGCATTTTACTTATTTTTACTAACACCACCGTTAAATTGGGTCCAATTATTGCAATAAAAGTTTATAAAGAGACACCAAGTTGGTTGAATTATTGTGGACTGCATTCTGGACAACTTGCTAACTTCGGCAAAAATCGGATTGGAAAGGCAAACCAAAACCCTCATAAAAATTTACCACTGCGCCCCACCCAGTAATTTTCAAACAGTGTTGGATTGTTGTATTCCAAATTCTGTAACGGTTTCTTCCTTGGTGTTTACGAATTGGATTTGGGTTGTAAAATTAAGAAACTCATCCAGATGGTAAAGTTGAGACAGGGAGTAAGCATTGCACAATGAGATTCGTTGTCATCATAACAATGTGCTACCGCACTCTAAATAATGTGGTAACAAAGTGTTACCGGAAGGAGATTAGGTATTGTCTGATCTACAATACTTCGTAACTTCGTAATATATTGTTACCCGGTTTATCTAGAGTTTTCACTCAATTGTAATTGTAACAATCAAATCTAAGTTCATTATCAATTTCTGGCAATCACCAATTCGGTAAAAATTATTTCCAAACTTGGTAATACGTTTGTCACCGGATTATTTAGAGTGCGCTTTAACAAGACCTTGGATTAGGTCAACGGGTCGAAATGACATAAGAAATCGTGTCATAAAATTGTTTTATTGCTCTCAGAAATTAAAGGAAGTCACCCTTGGGACGAGTGACACATTTTACAACGTTAAACCCAAGATTTCTCCAAATTCGAGGGTCTGAAAATTATAGGACGATTCAATTGATAGCATAAACTTGTTGGCGTGTTGTTTGTGGTTTGGATTAGTGCAATCATTTGAATCCCTCCTCCTCGGTTTTACGGAGTAATTTATTTATTTATTTACATCTTGACAAGCCCAAAAACGAGTTTTGCTATGAAGGTGAAATCCCACTCGCATAAAATCCCCGTCAAAAATAGTGCACAATTTATACAGAAAAGCCAACCAACATTGTTTCAACAAAACTCAAGAACCTATTTTGTTATTTATAATTATGCAATTTGTAATGTTTAATAAACGTCGACCAATTCAAGCAGTTCTGTACTAAGTATGTTTTAATTACAGTAATAATAGTGGTTCAAATTTTGCATTTCTGTCGAACAATACGAAAACCCACCGTTCAAAAAACGAGCAAAAAATTCCATTGACTTCTAAAAAAAATTGCTGCCATTTCAAATATCTTCCTTCAATTTTCATCTCCAAAAATTAGAATATAAATTTGTATGATTGAAATATCTCGATTTTTCACCTTTCCTTTTTCACTTCCACTTGATTGCATTTTCATAATGAAATATGAAGAGGTAGGTAATTCGTTCACAACATTTTACTCCTCTCGCAGCTAAAATCTTACATTTCATTAAACATTTACTTGAGCAGAGCAGTCCTCACATTTCTTTCAGTCTCAGAAGCCCCAACCTTTTTTTATTTTCAAGGGTCTCGGTTTCACGGTCAAATTTCTGAGTGAAAAGAAAGCCTGAAGAAGTTGTCAGGTTGGATAATTTAAAAAAATGTTCGCATCGATGCCCACATGATTTTTTACATGGTCACTTTGGTACGTACTTTTAGCTTTATTTGGATTTTTGTTTTATAAAATAACGTCGACGAAATGAACAGCAATTAAAAAATTAATCTACTAATTCTCTCAAATTATGTTTATTCCAAATTATTATGTTTGGCTGAATAGTAATTCAAATGGACTTGATAAATTGTCAAGCGATACATATATCGACAAATGAAAGATGAAGGTTAATTCCATTATTGGGAAATTGATACTATAATTATAAAAATGTATGCAAAATAATTTCACATAATACAGACGACCGGTTGGATATAGTTCGTAAAAAATATGCCATTTCGCACATTTTAGAAATTCTACTGTAAAAACCTGATGAGAAAAATTGATGAATAAGTCCAAATTTCATCCATGTCATATGGATGAAATATGGGTATGATTCCCTGCAAGAAATCTCCTCAGCAGATGTGTCCCAGAATAAGGCACGCTTTTTCCAGCCCATGTTACACAATAGTTAGCCCCTTACTTTTAATATAACGAATACATACTTTTACACAATGACGACAAATGACACGACCAAACCGTGACCAAGGAAAAATGTTCACTTATTCAAGAATTTTGTGTAAAGTGGGTCCTTGACAAAACAGAGATGAAGAATAAGCTCTGCGTAGAAGGGAGTAGTTTAAGAAGTGCAATAAAATCGAGACATGAAATGAAAACCGTTTCCTCTTCGTAACATCTTGTCCTCTCTTTTGTGCTCCAGTCCAGTCGCTATTTCAGTATTTGTTAGGTCACTAGACCAAAATACCAGACTATTTAAAAGTAAATGCATACAAATGCTTAGATGTCGTGCAGAAAGAATGTGGTCGCATCCATTTGACAGAGGTTATTGGGTGATCTCACACAACTACGCCATCAGCTCAACGTATATACTTAAATTCAATTGTTTGACAATAGTGTGGGCACACAAACTTGGTTAAAATGGAGAAAACTCGGCTAAAATCCTTTATGTATTACCCCAAAATGTAAGAAATGGGTCTTATTTTCGTACTTTATTTGTGTTCGATGCTTCTTTATTTGTGTAACGACATGACAAATGACCAAAAGTGGGGACAGAATGAGAATGTGTAAACAGTTTTAATTTTGGAATACGAATGTAACAGGAGGACGACTTATTTAGTCCTGAGAGATATGAAAATAATGTTTAAATTTTAGATATGCCAAGTTTGTAGTTGGATTTTACAAAGTTCTTTACAAAAACTTACCGTGTATTTCGACTAGTGGACACGTTAATACGTAATAAGTAAATCCGACTTTATCACAATTTATTAATCGATCATGCCCTGCACAATCTTTCAGAAGCACGTAACTAACTTGTTTTTTCCACTGTTCGTAAATGACGCTCTAAATAAGTTAGTTAAAAGTGACGATATTGAACACTTTACAAATTTGTTACTATTGTTCATTACTTTGTAATGCATATTGTTTACGCAGTAAGTTGTCAATTTTAAAAATTAGTATGATAACTGTTGAAGATCTACATGTAATATATTCACAAATTGTTCGGCTTTAATCCATATTATCCACTGTTGGGACAGGTCACACATCTGCGTCAACATCTACTTGAGATAAGAGAATCAATTGCATGCGACACTCTAAAAATTGGCATAATCACGTCATCATCAATAGGGTAAAATTTGGTATATAAACCTGGAGTAAAGGGTGAAACTGCATCCAAATATTCAGCTTGTTTCACTCTTGCTAAATATTGACAATCCTGCGACCCATACTCAAAGTGCTAAAGTTGTTAAAATATGTCAGCTGCATGTGAGTTGGTTGGTCATCCATAACAAACTTAAAAAATGGGTCTCAAAAAGGACCAAAGTTCGCACGTCAAATAATTTTATCTCGAAAATCAGTAGAAAAACGACCCTAAATTTTTTATAGACTTGAACTACTAAGAACCACCCAAGCATCTTTCAATAAACCTTGTAATTTTCTGTGATTTAAAATTTGCATTTCAAACTTGAAAATAAATTAATATATATTTCCATCAAATTTATTAAAAATTTTGTTGCATTTGAACATTTTTACAGCCTAAACTTAATTATTCTGATGCTTAAATATACAGTCAATGGAACAAGTATTGGCAACACCCACACAAGCTAAATAAAATTGGCTATAACTTTGGCATGCATTATCAAATTAGCATGAAAATTTGTACGCATTTAGCAAATCTAATGTAGTTTTCGATTATAATCATGTTTTACTGATTAAAATTAGATTAACGCAGGTTTTAAATAATTTGCTGGAAAATTTGCGAAATTAACCCACAAAAAGTATTGGCACCCTCTAACTTAAAAAATCATTGAGCAATGAAACGACAATTTTACTGCGACAAAGTGCTTCTAGTATTACGTGGCACGTCCCCTCGAAGCAAGAAGAGCAGAAATAGGCTGTGGAATTTATTCGACAAGTTCCTATATAACGTTTTTTTATATGGTTGCCCACAGTTCTTTTAAACTTTTGACAAGCTCGTTTTTCGACTAGTGGTTTCCCATCGGTCTCTCTTTTCTCAACCCGGACAATCAGAATCACATCAGGAGACTGTGTAGCCAACGAAAGAATCTTAACCTTTTCGGTCTCCAAAAACTTCCATCGTTAATTTGGCTACATGTTTGGGGTCACTGCATTTTTGGAATATGAAATTTTTTCCTAGGTCAGGTTTTTGTTAAATGATTTCAAATTATCGTTTGGAATGATTGACAACACCTTCCTGGTCATAATTTTATCGATAATGACCAGGTAAACACGCCGCCACCTAGTCATTTAACCCCAAACCATAATCAATCCTCCTATGTGTTAAACTGCCATACGAACGTTTTAGTATTTCTGAGCCTTTTATTGCATCCGCCAGACCTGAACCAATTAATGAGCTCCGAATAAGTAAAATATGCCTATGTCGGACCAGTAGGCCCTTTTTCATTGATCGGAACTCTATTTAGGGCGATATTTAGCCCATTCCGATTTATTGAGGTGATTCGCTTTGGGGACTCGCATCGGTCGGGCTACTGGAGCCTGAAACCCCAAGGCATAATTTTTAATTGATCACCAAATTGAATGATATGTTTGCCCCACAGTTGGTACTGCAATTCGACATGGATTTGGGGGCTAAAATCTTCCGATCTCAAGTGACATGTTGCTTGATTCATCAGTAGATTTTGGGCGTAGGTGACCTAATTCCTCCGCATCATCGAAAAGCAGAAACTGAGATTATCATTCTATATTTCTTTGCTACGTATTCAATAGTAAATATGGAAAAGTACGTCTTCTCTTTGATTTTTCGATAGTAAAGCTTTTTTGTGAAAGAGGCATGATTATTTCTCGCCGCGCCAAATACAGCTCGTTTGGTGTCGCCATTTTGGCTCCAGACAACACAACTGTAGACTTAAAATGTAGGTAATCTCATATTTTGCCACCTAATTAACTTACCATAACGAAATGTGGAAGATGGTTAAGAAAATTGTTTCGAGTAATTAATTTGGCCACATGTTGCCAATACTTTTTGCAGGTTTGCATCTGACTAGTTGGGGTCAAAATCAGGATTGTGTTATGTTTACTAGATTTAAATCAGAAACATGATTATAATCGAACACTACATTAGATTTGCTAAATGCATACAAATTTTCATGCTAATTTGATAATGCATGCCAAAGTTATAGCCAATTTTATTTAGCTTGTGTTGGTGTTGCCAATACTTGTTCCATTGACTGTAAAATTTGTTGGTTGTAATATTTTACATTTTCGTTGGATTAAAAAAATCGATTGGTTGCAAATTTTAGTGTTGCGAAAATTATTTATTTTGGTTGGAAGAAAAAAAATTTTAGTTGGGCACTATAAATTTGACCCAACATTAACTACATAAATATCAAAATTGAATTTCTAAATAATGGCACTGTTTAACCTTCTGCTTTGTTCTTTGGCCGTGGTCGTATTTTCAGGCGTTGCTGTCCATGCAGCAACATTGGGTAAGCAAAATTCAAAATAATGCATGGAAAATCGTTAAAAATATACCATAATTTTTAATTTTTCAATCAATAATACTTTTTTACAGATCGCCAAACCGAGTATCCTGAAATGCGAGTGATCGGAACAATTGGGAGCAAGACATTTTACACGACCTTAAACTCCGTAATTAAATTTGGAATAAAATGAGTTTAGTTCAAAAAGACTGCTTTTTATATAAAATGAAACGTACTTTTTGTAGACCTTCCAAGTGAGGTGGGACGCAGCCAGGCAAATTTGTCGACAGTCGGGCATTCAATTTGCAATCTTCCAATCCGACGCCGAGTTTGATTTTGTTCGAGCTAACGTCGCCCCCTCATCACGTGAGTGACAATTCTAAAACTTAATTTACATACCAAATTTATTTACTAAATGGATGAAATCGTGCTCAAAAATTGAAGAAATATTTAATATTCTAGAACTTTGGATTGACGCCAGCATGCGAGAAATCGAGACTCTGACCGGGAGGGCGGCGTTCGTTTATGGCGATGGTTCCGACGTGTCGACGAAGAACGTCATGATCCACCCCACGAACTGGGTGTGCCTCTACTTTTCCGCCGACGACCACATTTTCTCAGGAATGTGCGCCGAACAAAGAGGAGTCCTCTGCCACATGAATAACGCAAATGGAACCATTTCCCAATAATTTCTTGCTTTATGCAATCTTTCAAACATACTTAAATTCAAAATTATCTTCCAACTATTTACGATCAGTTAATAAAATAACGGCGCCATAACCAATTTCATGCAATCAATGTTAGTGTGATAATATTGCTGATTTATTTACTCCCCATTTGTACACAATTACGATTTCACTGTACATAATTTACAAAAAGGGTCGAATTTCTCCATAAACCTAATGTTTTAATTTTTTAATTTTCAAATTTCATTGTTCCTTTTGCATCTCATTTCTCAATTGCGTACGCAAGGTTAAAACTGAGCAATTTTCAGTTTTATTTAATTATATATTTTTTTGAATGACTTTTTAGTTGATATATAATTTTGGCAATATCTTGAATAGGCCGATGTAAATAATTGTAGACGATGGAGGTGGAAAAGCTTTATACAAAATTTCAAATATATAAACCTGCTAATTTAATAGTTATGAAACTTTACTTTTCACCCCTGAAAGAAATTGAGTACGTTTATTTTTTGTCAACATTATCGAAATTTTTCTCTTATCGATCCCAACCTTGCCATCCACTCTTGTGATAATTTTTTTTTAATTTTTGTAAGGCATACAAAAGATGCAAAGCACATTATCACAGATTATCTGTTTATATATTATATATAGCAATTTGTCATCTGTGACAAAAATTTACATAAGTGTAAGACATGTGTTGACAATTTAATCAAAACTCAAACCCTCTTGGCTTGACTTACATATTTACACAAAATTATTTCATTGTGGAGTACCTTGATTTGCGAATATATATTAAAATTTATCATTATTATGCAGAAACTGGTTATCTGTATAAAAATTCTACCAAAAAAAAATCATAAAACATTCCGTCTCGATGCTTTTCTCTCATTTGAACCACTCCTACCACAGCTTCATCCCTGACCAGAAACCACGGCGGATAACCAATAAACCAAAACCTTACAAATTTTATGGTCCCACTTTCATCTCTCTGAGGAAGAAAGGTAAAGATTCGAACAGTTGTGTGCAGGCAGGTCAGCTTTGTTTTATTCCATGCATTTTGTGGGCCTGGAAAAAGATGAGGTTTGCCCACTGTTGGTTTTAGCTTTGACCAGAAAGCAGCTGCCACCAAGGCATGCAGTTCCCTTTCATCTTTGTTGCCATTATATTTAGCTGCTACTATGTATTATGGCCTTGTTTATGATTACGTCTCATTCAGTCAGCTTATAGATACTTAACTTGGGGTGTAAGCACTCTTAAAAATTTGGAAATGAAATTTTTACAGGTTTTGCTGAACCAAAAATTAAAAATATAACCAAAAGTTGTCATGTGGAAATATATTACAAAACCGGAAGCCACATAAACCGGTTACTTAATTCTGCGCTCTGGAATTGAATTGGGTAGAATTGCATGAAATGCTTTTCGAGCATCACTTAGATTTGATTAGCTGATACACGAAAAGCATTTCAATCGGATCTATGAAATCAAATATTTGCAGATTTTTAATTAATAAGTTAATACTCTGATGCAATATAAATATGTAGCCAACATATAATTGATATGTATTTAAATGGTGCATAATCATAGGTAGATTTAACACTAGGTATGTAAGGACGACTTAGATATTTATGGTGATAGTAAATTTAAAATCTACATTAGATTTAAGCCAGTGGTTATCTGAATTTCCTGCAGTACTTCATCCCAACTTGATCATAACATTGTCAAGTTTTCGTTGATTTGCTATTATTCAACCTTCTAAATACATAAATATGTCGAAGTTTAACACAAAAAATTATTTATCGGGTAACTTGCATAAATGATTTTTTATTAGATTAATTTCTTCATTAGATTAATTTTTTCTGCCGTGACGACCCTCGAGTAAAAATAATGTTTCACAAAATTCAAATCTTGCATCAACCATTTTTCTTAAACTAAATTACTCAAAGTGTGAAAATTTCTTCCAAGATTTCTAAGTGTGCCTGGACTTTGAGGAGATGAAGAACCGTTTTATTTTTACACAACAACTTAAGCTCCCGTTTTTGAGCTGCACAACAAAACGAGACGACTTGCATTACAAGCATTTATCGTGTAACGTTACACTCATCAACAGAAAGATTTTATCATTATTCATCCCCATGCATTTATTGCTACCTGGTGGTGATACGCATCTCCATTCATGTCGCTCATTCAGCCGACCGAATCCACTCCAATTTTATTTTACTAAATGTTTCCCATTGTGTGATCATGTAAGCAGTGATCGTCCTGAGTACACAAACATTTGTAAAAGTAATTCGAGGAGTGAGACATGAATTTGGGGGTGAAAGCAAACATAAATATGACACTTTTGGTTGGGTATTTATTTAGTTCCACGGGTGGACATAATCTCGGAGGTGACTGCACAATTGAATTGAATGGACTTTGACGTAACAAAATTGGAAATGTCACCAAGATTTTGGTGGAATTTGTATGGTCCAGTCCGGGTGAAGAATTATGGAAAAATGAAAATAGAAATGCTAGAAAAATTGTAAATGAGACGGAGTTACATATGAATTTATGTATTTAGTTGTGATAGTTCGATATTTACTTAATTATTTACCTAAGTTAATTGAAGGTAATTTGCAAGATAGCGTCATATTTGCTAAGTTATTATTTCCAGCGGATAGTCGTAAAGACCCAAATCCTGCATTAAAGAGTGTCAACTTTAGGTCTACTCTACAGTGAATTGGGGAAAAACCTATAGTGCGATTTGTCAAACATGTTAAGCTAAGAAGTCTTTTAAGAATTTTTTGGAAAGGAAATATTCAATTTTGATGATGATATGAGTTTAAAGCTTCGATGAAATTTTGCGAGGTTGGTTAAAGTTTGAAAATATTTCAACTATTTGTTCCAGTTAAAGAAAATAATTTAAAAGATACGAGACGCTGTATGTATTAGTGCATATGCACATAAGTAATTTATTTATTACCGAATTATGAAACTACAAATATTTGTCCAGCATAATAAGAGAGCGGGCAATAAGTAAAGCAAGATTTACAAACTGAAAGAACTCAGCGAAGGATCAACAATTTGCGAAGAAAGAACTTACTCTCAATACGAAAAGGGAAACGAAAAAGGAAGTTGCTCAAGTCTCTCTTTCCTCCCCCAACTTGGTCTCATTCTCATTTTCTAAGATCTTAATGCTTGACAAAGAGCAACCCTCACTATCAACAAGTACGTAGGAGAGAGTGCATATCCACATATACATATTTAGTTGATACTTTTTCTCCTTGTTAGTGGTCGTGAATCGTGGTGGTACTTAAAACCTACCCTTGAAAACAACCCACTTAATTCTCAACCTTGTTCCGCCTCCTTTTACTCAAGAAATTGAGACCTCAAAGCCAAAAAGGGCTCCCTTTCAGACAATTCACTTCAACTGCTGGCTCGGGAACCCATGTCACATAATAGCAATTAAAACAGAAAAAGTACTGGGGACTCTCGTATTTAAAGAAGTTGGCAAATGTTGGAAATACAGACTTTCAAAATAAATCAACATTATTATAGTATTTTAATAGTATTTTACAACACCTTAAAAATGCTAACACTTTGCCCAAAGTTGTTCACACGATGCATGGTCATTTATGAAAACATTTAATTTTGCCAAATCTGTTCCGATGCAAAATTGAATGAAAGTCGGACAATCTTAAATTATTGTATTTTTGCTAACAAAATTAGGTACGTAGCAAGGTTAAAAGGAAGTTTTAAATATGTTTTAAAACCGAATATTTTTGTAAACTGTTTTCCTCTCAAAAATCTATTTGGGGACAAATCTGCTGAAGTGCATTAAATTGAACAAGAGATCAGGTTTCTTCCTTCCTTGTGGGGATCTACTTACGTAAATAATTCTATTTGACAGTGGTAAACAAGCAGGTAAATAATTCCTGTTTCATTATTTGTCCACCTTTCATTCATTGTTTGCGACAAATGGATCGAATATCGCATGGATTGTCATGAAACGAGATGATTTTGTTTGCTGATAAGATTTTGTAATAGTAAATGACAAGTTTTAGGGTGAGCCGATGAGCTAGACCAGAATTAAGGGATGGTTGGCCCTATATTTTCTTCGGTTTCTTTTGTTCCGAGCTAATTGGCCACCTTTTCTTAATCGTGGATTAAATGAAGCAGTAATTATGGGACAAATTGGTCAGGTCGGGTTACAAGTAAGTTTAAGGTTTAAATAGTAGATTCACTAATGTGATGATGAATATGATCCTGTTCTCTTGAATTGAAAGATTAAAATTAAACCTAGTTGTCCAAGTTCAACAATCTGTAAATAATTTGATACCGACGACAATTAACTGTCATTAATTGGAACAATGGTAATAATAAAGTGAATTCGTTTAAACTGTATTTAGAAAATTGTTGTATAATGTTGCGTGCATGACCTGTTTAGATTTCTTACATAACGTAAGAATTATATTGGTGTATTACTTTCTCGCTATTCTCCGAGCTATGTAAGTGGCCACCTTTTCTTAGTCGTGGATTAAACAAGGTTTTCACTCATATTCACTCATTTTCGTTCAAATTCGTTTCATTTCACCTCATTTAGCTTCATGTCATACTTGACCCCATGTATTAAGCACCGAGAGATACATGAAAGAAGTGAAATTGGTGACCTTTTTGTTTTTCAGTTTTTATTCACAACTTTAGTATAAAGAATTACGCTACGTAATTCTTTCGACTAGAATGTACGTAATTTACTTACATTCGACTCGAATTGACTATTATCCTAGAATAACGTCAATTCCTTTTACGCAAAAATTGGAAAACTTTTGGTTGGAATTAGCCCAAGTTATTTTTTAAAAAGAAGCACCCTAAGTTTGAGAGATGCCAAAATCTTATAAATGGGAGAGGAAGGTCAAAATTTTACTTAAAAAGTGATATTTTGGAAAAAATATAAATTCCTAAAGTGGAAACGCCTATACGATTATTACAAGAAATTTTCGAGAAATAACAGCAAATGTATGGTATGCTAAATCATAGTCAAATTTATTTTTATTTCGAATTCAACCGATCAAACCACCTAGGATTTTTTCCTTAACATTGTTTTTAACTCTTAAGTAATTACATCTAAAATACGTTCTTCCCTCCTAATATTCATATTCTTCACAATAATTTTAACTGCATTTCAAATAATCGCCCCCTCACAAACGCACGGGCGCACTGCCGAACAGTGTGCATCATTCAGACCGTGCCGAGAATATGGATATGAATATGGCCGCACCATAACGCAGGCCTCATATTCCAGGTTCAGTTGCACGACACGATTTGGCTCGCCCGGGTTCCAGGCGCCCATCCCGTCTTCGAATGACTTTCCGGAATGAATCCAAATCCACTTTGAGGTTGGAACTTGTCTAGGACTGTTGCTTAACAGGTAATCCAACGCGATCCCTCCAACCCAGAGTTCCGTTTGTCTAATATCTTAGAATAATATAGGACGTACAAATTAATAAGTCATTTTTTCAAAAGTTTTTAAAATTTTTAAACAATTTTTTCAAATTTTTTTAAAAATATTTTTTAAGAAATTAGTAAACTTGTATCCATTTTACTCCATAATTGGTAATTAGCAACATACCGGTACAGTTGTGGGTAAAAGTGAGGTTACTGAAGTTATACTGCTCCTCTAGATTTAGGAACTCGGCCAAGTGCATTTGCCTCCCGAGTTTAGTTCTTTTTCCTCGACAAAGTCTGTGACACTCGATGAAGGTTGACTAGAAGAAAGTTAAGTAAGTTAAGGTTTGTAGCTACCCTGTAAGATCTAGGATAATAAATTTATGTAATACTACATAATTTAGTAATATGTAAAGCTGAGACAATTAGTTCATCGTGGGGGCGATGTGTCAGTGCACGGGCAAAAAAAATCCGTTATAAATTCATATCTGGTGTAGTAGTCGGATTGATATTACATAAGTGTATGACTCAACTTTTTAGTGGTAAAATTACAAGTCTCAAAATAACTTCATTGTAAAAATTAAACTCTACACAAAGTTGTAAATGAAAAACTCAAAGTCTCGAGGAAGCATAAATTAAATGGTTTGACATTGTCAACAGTGATGAAAAACGTCACAAAAGTCGGATTATTGGCTGGTGTTATTTTATTAAAGGCATAAAACACTATTATGCAGTAATTTTCTGCAGGTGTTTTGTAACACCAGAAACGCTGGTAAATAGTGAGATGTTATATTAAACGTTCGCTTACTTTTTGTGGTGCGGCGTAGTAGACTTTTCTAAAGCCAAGGGACCCTATCCGGATCAATCCGTCGTCATCAGTGTCACAGGTGATTGTGTCGTAAAATGCTTCTGGACCGCCATTATCGCCTTCAGTGGTCAGATCTTCAATGAGAAAAAAATATTGCTAAGTCCTACAATTTGTTTTATAAAGATTTTAAAAAACGCAAAATTGCGAATCATTATGATTTCAAAATAATTTGGGGTTTTTCAAACCCAATATTTTGACCTTATTGTTTGTTTATTTGCATACTTTGTGCGTTTCCAACCTGAAGTCCCACAAGAAGTAAAAATGTCACTTCAGTCAAGGCAAGAGGGTAAGATTTAGCCGAAGAAGAGCTAAATTTAGCTCCGGCTTTATTAAGGCGATCCGGAGCTAAATTTAGCTCCGAAGGGTAAATTTTGCTCCAAATCTTCCGCCAAATTTAAATTATTCAATCTATAGCTATGAATTTAAAATAACCTTCACTTTTAAGTTTTTGTAACTACGGTGGGCCGGATCACACAAAGCTGGGCCATTGCTTATTTGTTAAGCGAAATATGCTTAATTCACCTAAATTGACGAAAGTAACCGTCGCTGCATAATAAAGGCGGTCGGTCTTTTCAAAGTCTAACCAAGCTAAATTTAGCCGAGGATCAGCTAAATTTAGCTCTTTTTCAGAGCAAAATCGAGCTTGAGGAGCTAGATTTAGCTCTCGGAGCTAAATCTAGCTCCAGATCGGATAAGTAAAGCCGGAGCTAAATTTAGCTCTTCTTCGGCTAAATTTTACCCTCTTGCCTTGACTGCACTTGGACTACAAGAAAGTTCATCTTGTAAATATTTAATTTGCACCGAAATGTGTAGCCAGATAATCTAATTTATTTTGAAACGTTAGTCGTAATCGAATTTATATAAACTTATCGACAAATTCGGTGAATTATTAATTTATTAAGTATTGTATTTGACATGTGGCGGATGCTTGCTAAATAAATATGTAAATAGGCCAGTGGAATATAAAATGAGTTTGAATTATGGTAAAACTTTCCTTATTTATTGTTTGTCCAAGAATAAATAATAATTAATTATTGCTCTACTACGACTTTCAATGGAGGTCTCCCAACGTATGCTCACAGAGTTTGACCAACTTAGGATTAGTGTCAATCGATCACAAATTTGAGTAGCATAAAATGTGCATATGGATGGCACTATCTGCCAACAGGTAGGTTTGGCAGAGATATTTGCATCCGAAGAGGAGAATTTGACATTTTGTTCGCTTTCCAGATCCATATGCACATTTTATACTACTCAAATTTGTGATCGATTGACACCAAGTAGGTCAAACTCTGTGAGCATATGTTGAGAGACCTCCATTGTTAGTGGGGACGTATTTATCTACATAATTACAGTGGGGACAGATGGCATGGAGGAAAATTGTGTAGAAATTTGGACCTTTTTTCTAATTATCATGACAATATTTAGAGCAGGATTGTAATAAATGTATTTAATACTTTACAATTTTTCGTCGTAACTTTAAAAAGCATAAAGATCATGGTAATATCTGTATGACACGCGTAGATTTGAACGATTTTGGGAAAAAAAATAAAATTAGCCAAACATTCGCGCATTTTGGCTCAGATCTCGAAAACCACCAATGCACCCCCCCCCCCCAATATTATTGCGGATTCTTCATGTACACAAAATTACGAAAATTTTAAGCTATCCAACTCCAAAATTGTTCGAGCGCGAAAAAACACGATCTCATTGTATATATCTATCTTAATGAAGGAGTTATTATTTGACAAATTGGTCAGGTCGGGTTACAAGTAAGTCTAAGGTTTAAGTGGTAGTTTTGTGAATGTGATGATGAAAATGAATATGATGCTTCTCTCAAGTTCTCTCGTGTATTGAAAGAATAAACCCATTTGTTCAATATCTGTAAATAATTTGATACTGATGACAATTAGCTTCGATTAAATGGATCAATGGTAACATTTACAGGCTAGACTTTCTTGACTGGTTTTGGATAATTTTTGTGTATGGTAGTGTTGCGCGGACTGTTTTAGATTTCTTACATAACGTAAGAATTATATTGGTGTATTACTTTCTCTCTCTTCTCTATCAAGAAAAGTAGAATAAGGGAAAGTTGAGGATAGCAAAGGAATTGCGGTCCAACTTGGGGCTGGAGATTGCCACCCCGCAAATCCCCCTCGCTTATCCTCTCCTCCATCACGACGAGAATCCAATTGGCCGTGAAACACCCGAATTTACTCCAAAATCCCGGTCGTTTTCCGGTTGGAAAAATTGCTCCGATTTTTCACTTTTATCAACAATCTTGACACTCGTGCGAGTCTCTGATTTGATGCGAGTTGTGTGTACAACTCAGATGTACTTTTATAGTGTTGGTATTATTCACACCAATTTCGTAATCGTGGAATTTTTTTGAAAATACGTAATTTACAAAAAAGATCAAAGTGTGGTCATAATTTTCGAAATTACTTCATGAAGAGAAAGACGTACACAAAATATTTATGAGGATCAGAATAAAATAAATTAAAGTTGAACAATGTCCAACTTTAATTTATAGTGCTGGTATTTACACCAATTTCGTAATCGTGTATATTTTGTGAAAATAAATAATTTACGAAAAAGAAAACTCATGTAGTTAGTCTCTAGAGATGGTTATACCACAGAACTATACTATTCTATCTACTATTCTATGGGTTATACATACTAGAAAATTTTAGCACTCAGTTGTTATACCCTACAGCTGAAAATCATAAACCGACGGTAAACATCAAATCATCTAATTATATAATTTTAAGTTTTCAACTATTCCTAAAAAATTATACAGCATAATACTCTTACAATTTCCGAGTTAAGAGATGAATAAAAAATAAAATGTCGTTTCATTTACGACATTTGGAATTTGTCTTTCAAAATTTGCATTCTTACATCTGTTGTACGTGTCAATTTGTCCCAACATTTCTGAGAGTGCATTGCATCCCCAGAAATGATGGGGTGGCCAATCCCGACCAAAACCAAACCACGTGTGTGGGCAGGACGGGAAACCATGCGTGTCATGCAAAGTACGAATCGTGGTAGAAAGAAACGATTTGAAAGTTAAATTTTATTGAGATTTTATTTTTTTCCACTTGGAAAGAAAGCGACCCAACTTTTTGAGTCATGGAGAAACCGAGGTATTCAACTGGAAGGACGTTTAACTGATCTGGATTTATTCTATCCCCGAATTGAACGGATTTTGATATTCTTTCAAATTTATTTTATTTCTACATTTAAATTTAAAGAGGAGCCAGAGACTGGGAACGAAAGAGAGAAAGCAAGCGAGGAGAATGTTAGGATTTTTATGCACCATTTAAATCAGCAGTGTTTCAGGTGCAGGTTTTGTTTCTTGCAGACCAAATCTGAGTGGGAGAAAGTGGGTGAAAGTGGACGAATTTGATAGAAACTGATGATGAGGAACTGGCATCAATTCATTCAATTTTCTTGTTGTATTACAAAAATTGTATGCTGGAAATAAGTTTCAAGCTGACTTTTTCTAATAAACATGGTTCGTGCGTGTACTCCATTAATTTGTGAATGTCCTAATTAAACAAGCGGAAATTTATTTCAAACAGTTTCACAGAAGTCCAAATTCTGTGATATTAAATGCATTTTTCTTAGTGAGGCAAATACCTAACAACGAAAAAAATTACTAAGTATGCATTTGACCCACCCCAAAAAAGTGACCATCTGAGATATCTCAGTCATTTCTTAACCGATTTTGATGAAATTTTGTACCGATTATTGTTACATAATTTAGAAATGGGATCTGATCCGCCTAAGCGATTACTTGATTTTTACCGGAATTATGGGCAAAAATGTGGCCTTAGAAACACATTTGTAATTATTGCTAATTACTAGCAAACTTTATCATCAATTTGAACCCCACGAATTGTAGAACAGTTTATCCCGAAAATTTTAAGTATAAATACATCAAAATCCGTTCCGAATTGATTTAGTTATTCCAATTTAAAGACCATAAAATTCATAGACGTTCTACGAATCAATGTCATTGACAACGACATATGAATAATAAATTTAAGACAAAATAAATATTCAAAACTGTAAACAGAAGAACTAATATTTGATTCTGCAACACTTTTGGTACAATGCATGAAGTGGTGGTTGTGAGTGTCGCACCTTCAGATTAGGTCATTTGGTATCTAGTAATCTAGACCAGACATCTTAAGACCAAAATAACGTGAATCGGTTAAGAAATAACGAAATAATTCAATTTTGAAAACGAAGCATTTAATAAAATTATCCCGGATACAAATATTGAAAGGGGATGGTGCATCCTATTGACATTCCAATTACAAGTTATAAATAAACAAGGTCCCAAAAAAGGGGAAATCTTAGTAAGGTAGTGCAATCATAAGTAATAAATAAAATTAGATTACCGAATTTTTGCATCACCGCTCTCGGTACCATTTTTACTGGATACAGTATAAATTTTTTTTGCATAGGCAAAGGCAAATTTGCATTTTTTTTGCATAGGCAAAGGCAAATTTGCATTTTTTTTGTTTTTCATTTTTTGCATAGGCAATTTGTTTTGCATAGGAATTCTTAATTTTATTGAATAAATTGAGAAAGAAGGCATTTTTACTGTGTAGTGAACGAGAAGTGGGTTAAATTAACTGAGATATGTAAAATATAATGGCTAAACAATTATGAACTACGTATTTGTTTAAAAAAGATACAAATCTATAATTTCAATTAATATATCAATTTGGATATTCTATTCAGGCAAAATCATGGGACCTTTTGAGATGACAACTTTTCTATTTAAACGATTAATGCTTGGAGTAAAAAAATTGTACCGAGAGCGGTGATGCAAAAATTTGGCAATCTAATTTTATTTATTACTTATGATTGCACTACCTCACTAAGATTTCCCCTTTTTTGGGACCTTGTTTATTACAAATATGAATTTCTCGCATCACTCGGAAACCTACTTCATACAATTTTTTTTGCGTTTAGTGCACCACGAAATGAAACCCTGGTGGAGAGAAAGTCGGAGAATGTTTGCCTCCTTCGAAATCTTTCTCTCTTCTTTAGCGCTACATTTTATTTTATTTTTTATGCACCTCACTCGGTCCGCAGTGGAGGAAGGATGAGCCCGATATTTGATGTCGTCATTGGTTTGAGTGTTATTTGAGGTGAAATTAGGGTGAACCATAATGCACTGGTTTTTTGGGTGGAATTTATTTACGGACTGAAATGGATGTACTCGTGGTTCAAGTGGATCATAAATCCAGTCCGTGGAATCAAATGAACTCCATTTTGCGAGACACGAGATGAGACATCAGATTCAATCCGATGATCCGAATCCGGTTTTGGATGGTTTGCGTCCGATGATGATGACTCCAATGTGGGCAGACACGAGGTTTTACGGCGTGCAGTTAAATAAACACTTACAAGATATTTGGGGATGGAATTGATGGTGACAATTGTGGCGAATATTATATTGGGGACTGGAATATGTTGGATATAAAAACTCTAACAATTCTTAAGTTTACATTGTTCCCATTTTTGTGAAACTTGCGATAAATAGTTTTTTGGTTGGGTGATAAAGCTCTCAACTTTTCCTTATACGTAATAATTGTAATCAACATGCCAAACTATAATACGAGTAAGTCTTAATTAAATTGTACGTTTTTTATATTATTTGCCTGAAGATAAAAAATTGTATGAATTTTGAAATCTGTATGAGTTAAACAGTGTAAATAAAAAAGTACAAGTTTTAAATATTTAATATGATTGTAGGTGATCAGATCCGCTGGTGGCGCATGATTTATTAGAAATTGATATGTTCGTCGTCAAAACCGACAATTGTATAATAAAAATACCGTGCTGTGAAACGCGCGTAGCATTTATGTGGTATTCGATACACGGTTTTTTATAAGTTTAACATTTGCATTTAGTATTTGGGGATGGAATTGATGGTAACAATTGTGGCGAATATTATAAGGGATATGTTGGCTATAGGAACTCTGACTTGTTACATATTTTTGTAAAGCTTGCGATAAATAGTTTGTGTGACAAAAGTCTCAACTTTTCCTTGTCATAATGGTAATCAACATGTGCAAATCTCAAGGTGTACGTTTTTCATATTACAGTAGGTATGTGGCTGTGAGATATAATTTGTGAGTATTATAAAATTTGTAGGATTTGAACAGTGCAAAGAAAAAGTTTTAAGTTTTAAGTATATAAATATAGTTTCAGGTAGATTGTCTGGGATAGCGTAGGTTAGTTCTAAATATTTATGATGGGTTGGATCGGTACATCAGTGTTTCAAATGTTTGACTTATGTACAAATCGAAAACTCCTGTAGTGATGAGTCTTACTTATTGGCACATAACTTATAACATTGGCTTTGCCAAATTATTTTCGAACTGTCTTAATGAGCATATTTTTTAAGGGAACATAAATCGAATACATGTATGTATTCTTGCGAGCATGCTGATTGACGGCGTATGACCAGCTAAAAGCGATAGCAAAGTACGATGTATTGAAAGACAGACATTGTAGTAAAAGTAAAAACTCGATGGTTTCGTTCTATCCGGAATTTGCAACGTTTTTTTTTGTATCTGACACACCTTAATCAACATCCTTCAGCGATTAATCTTTCTAAGGTTTTTCATAAATTGTTTTATTGAGGCTTTCTGCATATATCGTTGGTGAGGAAAAGATACATTTACAAGTTGGAGACCCGTGCCTCATTATTTTAAGAAATTAAAGATTTGTCCTCTTAATAATGTGCTTATTTAATCATTAAAAGTTAATAACTTGCATGAAATCTTAAACCACGTCAATTGTTTAAAAAAAATTTTAATACCTACATAATTTGGAAGTATTCATCTTCAAAACCAACAAATGTAATAAAACTATCGTGCGGTGATATCATTTATGTATATAGGTGGTATTCGGTATACAGTTTTTTTACGAGTTTAACATTAACATCAGTGGATGTTGACTACATATTTATTTATTCGGTTAATTATGATTTCTAATTGTGTAACCATCTATGTATGATTTTTCAGGTTTTTTGTGCCATGCTAATTTCGGTTTCTGTCCATCAGAAAATCATATCAGACATGACACATAAATTGTGTTCATGCAAAAGGGTTCGCAGGTGTGGTTTGGATAGAGTGCTTCCACATTTGTCATCATTATAGGCATTACCATTGGTGATTCACCAGTACCACAATTGTTATTCGATCTGGTCACGCTAGCCGCTAAATATTTCAATATACCCGGAAATTTATAAACAAGCAAATTCATTTCATATGAAGTCATTTAAATAAACATATGAATTCAAATTCCATAAAAACATGTAAAAATCAGTAAATTTTTCACGTAAAAATGTACACAATCGACCCAGTTAAAAAACTTCAACCCTGTCTGGCATCACAACACTTTTTATGCTGCAAGAGAGACAATTTCCGCCCAAAAATTAGCCACGAGAAGAGAGGGGAAACTCATCAGCCAAAGAGTAGGAAAGTAGCATGATAAATAAAAACACATAAAAATTTACTTCCCGATAATTACAGGCTTCGTACGAGGAGAACACAACGACTTAATCACCACTCGTGGTGGACTTGTCCTTATCAGAGGAAAGTATCATCATGGGAGGATGGTAGCACATACATAAAGTGGCATCAGGTAAAACAATGAGTCCGATGTATGTGTACTTAATCTCAGGCAGGGTTCCGGTAGTTGCCTCAATAATTTTCATGTACATGATGCATAAAACGATAAACAATTCTATTTTTTATTGGGTGGTGGTTATCAATTCTATGAGTTTATCGATTTTGTAATAAGTTACGTAAATTTGGAAATAAATTAGATAGCACATAATGCAACTTCAACGACGATATACTTACATGCATTCTAGACTAATTGATTTTCTCTATTTACGTTTTTGACGAAAAATAGGACAGAAACGAAACCCTGTCACCTGTTCATCGTGCGATTACTTTGAACATCGAAAAACACGGTATCACAACATGCGAATGAAACTACAACCTTTTCCCTTCCCTTGAATATGAGAGGAACATCAAAATTTATTGCGTAATGAATATTGCCACCAGTCCACGGTTACCAACAACCAATACGAATTACGATCTGCGGCCTGTGCGGTTTCGCTGGGGTTCTCAGGTGGGAGAAATAATTACAGGTGAGACACACAAAACTGAGAGGAATCCACCAAAAGTTGGAGGAAATGGATAATTACCTTGAGTAGAGTCGGGCAAAAGCGTTTCATTTTACATGGACTGACTATATACGAGTTAATTTCTTAATTTTGAAGTAAAAAGAGAATGAGATGGATGTCGAGATAAACAAATATTAAACTTTTGTGTTCATAATTCATAATCTTGTGACTTTCGAAAAGGCGTATAATTCATGAGTGTAATTAACGTAAATGGAGGGAAGAGAGATGTCATTATTTGAAGGTTAATTTTCTTAGCAAAATACTCTTAGCAAACTCGCATAGAACATTGCGAAGACATAAACTCGCATAATATTACCGATCTAGATTCGGGATCCTAAAATAACAAATCTCTGATTTATTATTTTCGACGCAATTGTTTACCAAAATATAATTTTTACAGTACACCTTTTCCTGTTCATAAAAAATTTCCGAATCCTGTTCACCAGATCCTAACCTCAATAGAAGGTATACAATTCGGCGCAACTCAATGAACAAATTACACTTTCATTAGGAATCCTGCATTCAGAATTATCACCATTTTTTAAGTTCCAGGTGAAATAAAAAAAAGTCGCTATGGTGTATTCTAGTTTACAAAAATGTACATACCTACTATGATGATTTACTGATGTACATACTCAAACTCGAATTTTAAGCCATATGCCACGCTTTAACATAATTACGCATATCTGTAATGTGTCAAGTAAAACATCCTATAGTAAGTTTGGTACATATGTAATTTATTTTTCAAGTAGGAATCACACCACAAACGAGTAATTTTCCTGATATACTTAAAACGAAAGGCATAAAGAAAAGAAAGCTACTACAAAAATTAGAGCACAGTGGGACCCTACATAAAGCATGTGATCGATTTTAGGAAAATTTCGAGATGACAAAATGCCATAAAAGTAGCACGTGTCCCGGAATATAGTTTGAACTCTAGCCTCCCAAATCAGTTAAACCCTTTTTGCACGGTCCCTATCGAACTACTGCAGAGGAAAAGTATTGATTGACAATTTCTTTCGTGTTTAGGACACGGGGCGGATCATTAATTATTTAAATGGGCGATAAACATACTTTCCCGTATATTTTTTGTAACTGTAACTGTATCGCATTTTTCTACGCTTTATACTTTCCTTCTCGGCTAGGAATTTCATTTCTTGTTTTTCTCCAGTCGCTCTGTCGTAAAGAAATGGAATTGTACTCGGAAATATAAGCTGGTAAAAAAAGTAACAATTCCGGAATAATTTTTCGAAAAGTTTACTATTTTTATATTTAAATTCTTAAATTCTTCGTTTAAATTACAAAATTTCGATCCAAAATGAAGTACGGCTTAGGAATTCGGCTTTTGATAGCCTTTATCGTTGGTGGGATTGCGGTCGTGTATAAAATAAAGATAAATCCGCGATACAAACAGTCCGAGATAAATATTGCGATTAAAGCCCCCAGAAGATTTACCTTTGATACGTTGACAAATCTAAAAAATGTGCCCAAGGTGAGAAATATATTTTTCTGAAGAAATATTTTTTCTAAATCATGCACTTCTAAAGAACCAGCATATCTGGTATTCATAGTCACTAATTGGCGTATCTAGTTAAACACTTATTAAATTAATAACACATTTATCTTTTTAATCGTATCTGAAGAGACACACCAACCTAAAATCATTAAATATAATATTGAACATCACTACATTTTTTATTGTGTAGTAAAGTCATGCAATAAATTGCAAGTAAAATATACTTATACTTTGCAAATATGTAAAAAGCTGCGCAATTGCATATCTCGTCGTTGAATATGCAATCAGACACATATCATTCTTAAGCATGTTCGAATGCATACTCAACGACGATATGCATGTACTTATGTAAAGTAGGCTTAATTTGACAAAAATTGCATCCTGAAATAAACAGATGTCAAAACATGAGTTAAAATTATAGTTACAAATTCCACTAAATTATCTTTAAATGTTGATTATGAGAAAAAAACTGTTTACACCTTCGGACTTTTGTTTTCAATGTTAAAAGTGAAGATTCCCGATTGTAAATATGTGGATACCATGATTTTTGTAGTACTTCTCCTGGATTTCTGACCTTAAAGAGAGCAAATTTGATCGGAGGAACATTTCACTGGGGAAGGTGTACTACGGCGTTGTAAATATGCCCTTCCTTGGTCAACACGAGGTCAAATATAAGGTCACCGAGTTGAAGGATTTCAATTGGATCACGTTACGACCCGAGCGCCCAAAACAGAGCTGGTTTAATACGGAAGTCACTTTCACCTTCTTTGCAATTACGAACGAAGAGATGCATCTCGGAGTGAAAATTGCGTATCATAGGACGTCTGCTTTGTTCCAGGTATGATAAACCAGATTTAAAGAAATATTTATTGCATGTAAATTTTGGAAATTTTTTAAATTTGAAATTTACGAGAAAAAATTGAGTTGGAAGAAACTGACAACTGCTGTTGAAAATTGCGAACACTAAACAATGTCACGAAATTACCTAATTATCTACTGCATTAAAAATTCCCCATAACCAATCACGCATACCACTTTGAAAATATGTTTGTAAAGTGCATTTCGTAAATCTTTCGTAAATCGCAATGATTTAAAGACCATTTTTAAAGGCAAAATTACATTAACAAACTTTAATGGGCAAAATATTTGCTTGATTTATGTCCATTGTCATCTTCTCACCTTTGGTACATGTCCTACTTATTGTATGTATTTCTCAGGATCGGTCATAAAAACAGAGTGCTTCTATCACGAATTTGTATCTTTGACATTTTTCGTAATTCTTCCATCCAAACTTAATATAATTACGGAGTGACAGTTTCACAAAAATTTTAATATTTTATAACATCCTAATATTTTTAGTTCTCAGTTTCAATATCAGTTTTTTTTGTAAATAAAGCTGATTTAAATATAACTAATATCAGCATAAGCCTAATTACATTTAAAAATTCTAAGTACTAAAAATTCTAAGTATTTAAGATTTTATGCTTTAAAAAAATTAAATAATTGCCTTCTTTACAGATCACATTGGGTCGCTACCTTCGCTACATAACGGATCAACAATTGGACCGTCTCTCAATCGCTGCGAAGAATTTAGTTTTGACAAAATGGGAAAAATTCCGATTTCCGCACGGGCGACATAACGCGACCAAACGGAAAACTGTGCCAAAATCAAAATCAAATTCAAAGAATATTTTTATGGGAAAAGATCAATCAAGTATTTCTAGCGGTGGAAATTACACAACGTCAACAACGGATAAAACAAAGTATAGCGATGAGTTGTGAAATGGGAAATATTTATAAAGCCACACGTTTGTACATATGCGAAAAGTGCAAGATTTTTGTAAACGGTTTTTTGTTTTAATTTATAATTGATGAACACAAAGAACGGATTCTTAAAAGTGTTTGGTTAGTACGCAATATTTTTAGTTGTTTTTTTAGCAAAAAGCGTAGTTCATGTTATTATAATTTGCATACATTTCAGCAAAACTATGTAAATGTATACACATTTATACATTTAGTTTTTGGATTTTGGTGATGCAATAGTTTCATATTTAAACGATGTCTAAATTGGCATGCTTTCCAGATTTGTATTCTTTCGTAGTAATTAAATTTATATACCTATAATAAGTTATACATATGTATTCTTAGGAATTCACATGCATACATAATTGCTGAGAAATTTGTGAATAGCTAGATTAATAAATTAAGAATACATTTTTATTTTGAGTTTGCATATATAAATGACTTTCATTATTTGTATGATTTATATGACGTTCTTTATGATTTGCTATTTTGTGATGTTTTTTAACAAAAAATTTATTTAGATTAATAATTACATACTGGGGCTACATAAATATGTTTCTATGAATCCTTATTCATGTTGTGACTGAATACAAGTATCCAGGGATTGATAAAACATGTATCCGGACTCTGATAATTATCTGTTTAACGTGATATTTATTATTCGAATAATAAAGTACATTTCATGCAATTTCTTAAACTGCAATAGATATTTGACACTTGATATTAAACGTAAAAAATTCGGTAGAGCCAATTAATTATTCCGGGCTGGTATTGACTTGGTAATGCTTTTCTGTCACCACTTTACTGAGCCCAAATGCTCATTGTTACGCTACCGGTCGAGTTACAGAGAGACTCCGAGGAGGAATGATACCAGAAAATGTAATACACTCTTAGAAACGTGGTATTGAAAAAAACTAAACGGTATTGATACGTGACTCTACCGCCTTGGTATTAAACGGTTATACCATATTGGTATAAAACCGGTATTGAAATTATACCTCATGGTAATAATTTTAATACTAATTGGTATTAAATTTTTTACCACGTAGTATTAATTCAATACCTGATCAATACCACGCGGTAGATTCACGTATCAATGATCAATACCAACGGTTATTGATTTTTTTAAGAGTGTACCAATTTTCTTGGAGTGGACTACTATCCTGCTTTTGACATCTTCCTTGCCCTTATTAAAAATGTCTAAATACACAACTCTCTTGTGTGATAACTATCAAGTAAATGCCAACTCGATGGGATAAAGTTTACGCGAATTATCACAATGAAGGCCAACTAGGGTTAAAAATTGGAAAGTCAAAGGAACGGGTGACAGTGGATAATTAAAACGCCAGATTAAATATTTTATCAAGATTCATATAAATGAGAATTATGTTAGATGTCATCTCTCGAAAATTGGAACAGTGAAAAATGCTCCAATCTAACATAACAGATTTGTTATCAAAATTTTTTGACATGGATATATTGTAAAACTAATAAATTAGAATATTAGACTTGTATTTTGCGACGCTTAAATTTTACACTTTTTCAAGTCGGATAAGGGAGAATATCGTCGACCCATGGCATGAGTTTGGTTGTGACTTTGTAACGTTTGAAGAGATGGAATGAAATGAGTTACAGTTTCTGTATTTTTGAGGTTCGAAGAAAATCTGCGGAAATTTTGGCGAGGGCGACATCCAACGAAAAATGTATTTATTGAGTTTTACTCTGGAAAACCATTTTAAGTTGAAACTTTGTAGATGATGCAAATTATAAAAAATAGTCATGAGCAATTTTTGAATGTTAAATGCTAAAGTGTAGTTCCGTTTTATTATTTTGAATTATTTAGTATATTAACTACATACGTAGGAACATTAGATTTAGATGAAGAACACATTAAAATAAATTTCTTTAATGAGTTATGTGCTGGTTAGGTGATATTTTATAAAGAAAATTTGTTAGACGATGAGTTGAGTATAAAAAATTTTAAAAAATCTTGAATAAATCTATGCAAAAAATGACTTTATAAATACGCTTTGCCTCAACTTCAAAATGGAATTTATCATTTTCGAGCTAATTTAAAGATGGACGACAATTGAATAATGAAAACGCCAAATTATATATTTTATGAATATTTATAAGGGTGAGAAGTATGTTAGATAAGTTAAATTCCTTCACCTGAAAACTATAACCGTTAATACTTTAACCCAACAGATTTGCTTTGCTTTGATTTTTGATTTGATTTGAAAAACTTTTGCACCTGTATACCCGGTAAAAATAACAAATTAAAATGTTACACTTTTATTTTGTGACGCTTAAATTTTACGCTTTTCACAAAATCAGAATAAATTTGAAATTCATCCCAATTTGATTTGTATGCACCTTAAGGGGTGATCTGATACAGTCTCACCGCTACCTGACGGGGAGTGTGTAACTATGTCCTCCCATAAGCTCCCATGTTATCGTTTTAAAAACTTTCAGCGTCGTCAAAAGACAATAAAATTTCGATTTTTTTGCATCAATCGACCCATATATTTAGTCTCCACGAAGTTACAGAAGTTTTGATGGATACGTTGAGTATACATGAAAATATGCGACTTTTTCTGATTTTTTTTCTTGAAAAGAATTATGGTGTGGCCATGAAAGCGACTTTAAGGTGAAACTCCAGTAACTTTGGGAGTTGAATATTTTGACACATTTTGCAACAAAAAATCCGATATTAATGCAAAAATAAAGGTGCTCAAATGTTTTGAAAACTTGGTTTTTAGAAATTACGAAATAAACATGCCCGTCAATTCCAGTTTCCCCAATTTTTGTTATGTTGTAGGTCTTTAGTAGTAGAACAATAGTCAAATTGGACTTATAGTCGAAATCGACCTGCGTGACCTTGTTTCGGCGTCGAAAGGTTGATAGGTCAAAGGTCACCGATCCCCACAAATGAGGTATCATTGGAAAGGTCTCGGTGAGAGGAATCCGAATATATATACTTTGTTGGGTGTATGACCACTCCTTCATGTTCGAGAAGCAGAAGAATGAAAATCTGCAATTCTCCACAATTTAACACAGCGAGTAGATTGAGAGCTAACATGCAGTAGATGGGCACAAACTCAGAAATATTCTTCGGTCTCTGGAAATTCAGGGAGTGGTCATACACCCAATAAAGTATATATATTCGGAATCCTCTCGTCGAGACCTTTGCAACGATACCTCACTTGATAATAAATTCCATTTACAGTTTCGAAAAATTAATTTTAAAATAAAATGAAAATTGTATGAGTTGAACGCCAAATGACTAGTGAAAATGTTTAACATTATTAGAATCTAAACCTCGCTCTTACCCCTCCTTAAGCAATTCCAAATCCGTCTCACCCTCAATAATTAACTCGTCAAGTCACGCAGTTACAAAAAATAGAGATGTGATGACAAATTGTTCTCCTGGTGTGATTCTCCTCCCTCCAAACATCGTGACCCCTGACCTTTCCCGTCAGCAGGGAGCACAGCTGCGAAATTATGGGGTGCAAGGGTCGCCTTAATGACATCACGACTGGGGTGGCAAAGCAAGCAAAGCGCAGACGCAGGCAAGGCCACAGATGCGTTTCTAATAAGAAAAGGGTGGTGGATTTTGTGGACTGGGGTGCAGATTCATCCGGGTATTTGAATTTGAATTCATCCCCCACCGAAAACGCGGAGAAATGTGTGGTATATTTTTATATTTTTATCCAAAATTGTGATACTTTCCGATATATTTGTATTGCATTGTGATTAATTTCAGGAGGAAAGTCTAACGACATCGGATCTTAAGACAAAGAGTATTCGTTTTATAAAGCAGTTCAATTACATCATTTACAATTGAAACGTTGTGTCAAACTTGGGTTGAAAATCTAAATAAACTTCATGCAACAATTTGTTCCGTAATGTTTAATTCGGCGTCAAAGTTATGTCCTAATTTTGCTTACCTTGCATTTTACCCATTTCAACTTTCAAGCCATTACATATTCCACTCTCTCTGCTTGTTAATAAGAGGGGAATCGTGGCTAAAAATGCATCCCAACCTCGAAACCCGTGACACATCTTTTCCTGAGAGATCTTTTAGTTCCGTATTTGTTGGCACATGTGTGATCCCAGCGAACCCCGACCGACCCCACCAACCAACCCAGCGACCCTTCCCACTGCTTCCCACATTGTCAACCGACCTTATTGATGCCCTCGCCTCTCTCATCTTTCTTCTGCTTGCTAGACAAATAAAATATGAATGGACAGAATTTTGAACTAAAAGAAATATTTTAAAAGAATCAAATTTTTATGGACACATTCAACGCAAAATTTTTGCACAATTTGCAGACAGAAAGTATTACATAATTCCGGCTTTAATTTCTAACGATATTTATACATAATTTTCCAAAATATGTTTCAGAATTGGCGAAAATTATAGCTACAAAATTACAATATCAAAATAAAAAGGTTATGATTCACATTATTCGATTTCCATTTATCCGTTCTTGTCCCTCATCGTGAATCCAAACCATGAATGACGTATCGCTGCCTTTGGTTCAATTGAAAACCAAATCGAACCGACCTCTTTTACATTGCATATTCGGTTTATGAATACAGTCGGAAGCTCTCATGGGATGGTTTTCAGAGAACGAAGGGAACTTTCCACACACACGAGAGGGATGATTTCGACTGTGCTACGTACAAGGGTAAGAATAAACGCTAATAAATTCAGGAGCCCGAAATCCAGCAGCCTGGCCGTGAAGAGGGACGCTTTTGTTTCCCCGACCCCATTATGAATCCAGTGATCGGATCCGGCTAGAATTTCCACGTGATGAAATACGTATGTGATATCAAAAGAGGAGAGATCTCGGTGAGGTAAGGTAACTTGGGGTTCGTGGTGGTTCGGTTTGGTCGATCAGTGCGGCTTGTATTTTGGTCACCCCGTTTCTCTCGGAAAGCAAAGACCCCACAGGCCAGCGAGCCAGCTAACCCCACCAACACCACAACCACAGCCTCCTACTCGCACAGCGATGGAGGACACTCTTAATAATTCGCGGAAATTTGTTACCAGGTTGGTGTTGGTATTGATTTGCATGTATGACTCCACCTATGGAAATAACTGTTGTCTAGATTTTGTGAAATTTTGTTAACGCGAGGTCAAGCAATTTTCAACTACCAGCTACCAGTATCGTGGTTATTTTATTAGGTTTTCACCAGTATTTATACATTTAATAAAAATTTATGAAAGTTATGAATATGTAAATTGGATTTTGTACGAGTTTAGAGTCAGTTTTATTGTGCCGTACTTTCGGCGATTTTAATAACTTGGTTAGATCTCAAAGACCTCTAATGGAAAAACTATTTACAACAAAGAATGAGACAAATGACGAGAAAATTCTGAAAAATACAACAATGGGGAAATTATGATTCGACAAAATTACTGTAGTTCTGCCTTCATGGTCCAGTGGACCATGGTCCATTGCGAGCTAAGGATGGTATATGAAACATTTTAGAACAGAGCTTGTAGAAAGTAAAAAATAATTTAACGTTAATTGTAGTATTTATTTATGTATGTTACTCCGTGAAGGTTTTAAGAAAAACTAACAAACCACAAAAGACGACCCCATTAAACCTATTTTAATAAATTAGTCTGAATTTTGCTGGGAACTTTGCTACATTTTTTTTACCTATTTATTAATGTTCTTGTATTGTCAGATTTTTAAGCGTGTAGCACAAAAATATAGCTATTTGATGCCTTCAATCCTCTCAGATTGCAGAGGACATGCACATTATTATTGCAGTTTAAATGTGTGTAAATGTAACAGTACATTTGTAATGTGCACACATACACACAAGCCGTGCATACATACATACATAAATAAGTTTGTTGTACTGATTTCTTAAGTAAAGAGCACAAACTCCTGGAATCTCATCTGATCCGAAATCTCGGATTTTTATATTTTTTCCCAACATTCGTTTTACTTCAAAATCTGAACGAAGGCCAAAATAAATGCAAATGTTACCCATCGTCTTGAAACAAAAACAACGACTTGATCTGTTGAAGTAGAAAAGTGCTCATCATTTTTATTTTACAGAACGACTTTAATGATCACCAATGCTTAGAATTGTGAAAAAAATAAAAAGAAAGTGGTTATGAATTTGAAATGTTAAATTTAGGAAATTTTACAATTATGACAAAATGTATGACATTTTACGGATAAATATTTTAATGTGCCAAAATATTAACTTTCGAGTTTAAATTAAACTGTATGATTTGTACACCAATCCAGTTTTTCCTAAAATGTGTAATCACAAAAATAAATTCAAGATATCTTTGATATGATCGGCACAGTATGTAAATATCAATTTAATAAGACTAAATTCATACTAACCTTATGACACAAGTTTACCATACACACCTAATAATTTCCATTACGATAGTGTAGCATCACTAAAAATGATACAAAGTTAAATAAATTTATCTCTAAAATCTGTGAAAGTTTGACGTCGAAATTAAAACCTGAGGAAATTTGATTCGCCTATAAAATAATGTGGTCCATCGCAAAATTACGACAATTAACACAATTATTAAACTCTTTACTTTCCTTAAGCCAGATAAATTAATACTCTTTCATCCATCTCAACAACCTTTTACAGAATGAGAGACTCGTCCTCTGAGTCAGTTCAGTGAAAGGGATGGATGTTTCGAAAGTAGCGTAAATCGCACAAACTGCGGGTGGTATTTTGTTCCCATCCTGTCATCCATTTACAGGGGTGGGTTCTGCTTTTGCTCCTGGTTTTCTACGGTTTTCTACTTCTCATCCGTGGTGGTTTGGTTTGGTTTGGTTTTAACGTGATGAGCCTTCGTTTTCTGGCAGAGAGAGAAAAACGAAACCACGACTTCAACCACGGTATGGAAGCCATAGGACATGATACCAACACCGCCACACACACCCCACCATTTCACATCTCTCATCCTCTCTCCTACTTCACTTTTCCATCTCGTACCAGACCAAAAACCGGACTTTTTCCCATCCTGCCGTCAGTCGTCAGTGTACTTGCTCTTGTGGTGGAAAGAGGAATGGAATATAGTGGTGAAAATAATTCTAATTTTATAAAAAAGATAGTGTTAGTTTTTACTTGAATTAAAATTTATAAAATTTTCGTACTTGCCATACAACGAAACCTCATGCAGCCTCGTGTACTGTTTTGTCTACTGCTTTCTCTTTCATTAAATCACAAGGGAAGCGTATATAGTTTTGTAATAAAAAGCTCGGCAATTTAACAAAATAGCTACAAATTCAGGTTCCCATTTTAATAAGTACGTTCCTCTTATAATTCTGTAATAATATCTGTATGCAAACTAATTTCACCAAGTTTACAAACTTTTTCTTTATTCACGCCTTGTGTGTAACGTTGCTAATTTTAAAATGGTAAACCTACCTTCCCGTTCATACGTATTTATGAGCGAATCGGCCATAATTGAAAGTTTGTAAAACACTTTGTAAACTGTGTAAAGCTGGCGTGAACAGAAAATATTTTATGGTGAAAGTATCGTGACGTTTCATCTCATGACATTTGGAAAATTATTCTTTTGATTATAAAATTGAAGGATTTAATTATTTAAAATTTCTGATCAATGAAAGAACACTCAACTAATATCAATTTTACATTTCAACACTTTAGCATACATAAATTTTAACAACTTTTAACATCCCACAATATTTCCGCTGAAGAAATCGTTGAAAAAAAAGATTGAGAAGACAGGAAAAGTAGCACACAAATTGTAGAAGGCCTTTGCTTGGATGTATCATTTATTGAAATATGTAGTTAAATATGTTCATGTGAATAAAGAATAAAATTTGAAAAACTAACTTTGCATCTTATGTTGAATTTCGCAATCCATCAGCATTTTTCATTTCAGCGGTTGTTGGCCTTGCATAATGTTTAATTTATCTCTTCTTATAAAAATAGTCGTTTCATGTTTGAAATTGACATAATTTACGTCATACTCGCATAATGCTGCCGACGTAAATTTTATTCCAGCTTATCAAAGCTAAATTTGCAGATATTGAAAGGCGGTCCAATTTTTGATTCGTTATGTAGCGACAAGTAACCTGTCGAGACAGATAGGAAACAAAATTATTTATTCCTCTCCAAAAATATTCGTTCAATCTAATTCTTTTTTCTTCCAAATTAAAAAATTATCTTAAATTTCGATCAGCATAAAATATGAAACGGTTTTGTCCCGACTATTCAAGTTAATTATCCATTTCCTCCAACTTTTGGTGGATTCATTTCAGTTTTGTGCGTGTCTCACCTGTAATTATTTCTCCCACCTGAGAACCCCAGCGAAACCGCACAGGCCGCAGATCGTAATTCGTATTGGTTGTAGGTAACCGTGGACTGGTGGCAATATTCATTACGCAATAAATTCCTCTCATATTCAAGGGAAGCGAAAGGTTCTTGTTTCATTCGCATGTTGGGATACCGTGTTTTTCATTGTTCGGAGTAATCGAAGTGAACAGGGTTTCGTTTCTCTCCTATTTTTCATCAAAGACATAATTGCAGAAAGTCAATCAATCTAGAATGCATGTCGTTGAAGTAGCATTTTCCGCTATCTCATTTCTTGCCAAAATTGCATATGTACCTTTTACGAAATCGGCAAACTCATAAAATAGAAAACCACCGCCCGATGACAAATAGCATTGTTTCGTTCACATAAGAATTATTAAGGGAACTACCGGAACCCTGGAAGAGATTAAGTACACATATATCGGACTCATTGTTTTTACCTGATGCCACTTTATGTATGTTCTATCATCCTCCCCTGATACTTTCCTCTGATAAGGACAAGTCCACCACGAGTGGTGATTAAGTCGTTGTGTTCTCCTCGTACGAAGCCTGTAATTATCGGGAAATAAATTTTTATGTTTTTATTTATTATGCTACTTTCCTATACTCTCTCTGATGAGTTTCCCCTCTCTTCTCGTGGCTAATTTTTGGGCGGAGATTGTCTCTCTTGCAGCATAAAAAGTGTTGTGATGCCAGACAGGGTTGAAGTTTTTTAACTGGGTCGATTGTGTACATTTTTACGTGAAAAATTTACTGATTTTACATGTTTTTATAGAATTTGAATTCTTATATTTGTTTAAATGAATGAAATGAAATGAATTTGCTTATTTATAAATTTCAGAGTAATATTGAAACGTTTAACGGCTTGCGTGACCAGGTCGAATAGAAATTGTGACACCGATGGTAATCCTATAATGATTACAAATATGAAAGCACTCTATCCCACACTAAAATCCAAACCAAACCTGCGAACCTTTCATGCATCCACATTATTTATCTATCATGTCAGTGATAGGTTTCCGATGATAATGAATGGAAACCGAAGTTGACATCGCTCAAAAAACTGAAACTTCAGAGATCACGAAAGTTGAGTGAAAGTTGGTTGCACAATTACTTAGAAATCATAATCGGCCGAATAAATAAATATGTAGTCAAGATCCACAATTAAACTGATAAAAATCCGTGTACCGAATATCACATAAATGCTACGCGCATTTAACTGCATGGTAGTTTTATTATAGAATTGTCGGTTTTGACGACGAACCTATCAATTTGTAATAAATCATGTAGCACCAACGAATCTGTTCATTAAGATAGATTTATATATTTACAATGAAATAGTGTTTTTTCATCTTCCAACGATTTTCGAGTTTGATGGCTTAAAACTTGCGTAATGATGAGTAGTTCAATAATCCGTAATAAAATTTGGGTGGCCCACGAGCAGTTTTCGCGATACAAGCCAAAATGTGCGAATTATTTGCAAATTTCAAGTTTTATGTCAAAATCGTTTAAACCTGGTCAAATATCACCGGATATAAATTTTAAAAATTATTTTATAATATAATTTGGCCGCTGCCTCGATTTCCAACCCAAATTTTCCTATACGTTGAAGTTTGCACAATAATTGCATATTCCGTATTAATTTTTCCACGATCGAAATATGGGTTGTATTATAGGTTATTTTTGTGCTGTTCTGTTGATTAAATACTTCGGTGTGTATTACCAAAGAAGACATGACAATGTGGAACTATATATGTAGTTTTACGACATAGCTGAATATTTTTCACAATACATTGCGTTTACGATTCATTCGATAACCTGTCTCTAATTCGGAATTTTGTAAACAATAGGAAATGTTGTTAATAGGTCAAAAATTTGTTAATGCCGTGTCCACTTGCAAATTTACGAATTTACGCTATTCACACATAAAGCTGCGGATGAATTGCAAATATGTACATACATACCTACACTCTCAATAATTTTGTAATAGGATTGCTACCGGCGGAGGTATTCTGTATTTCTACCGGGTGGTAACTCTATAGTAATAAATTGCCTCCAGTGTCGGTAATATTTTTGTTACCAGCGCGCTTACATTAGACCCTGAGCAGGATTTAGCTTCTGTATATGTATATATTACCCTAATTCGGTGACAAATTATTACCGAATCGGAAAAACTACGTATACTTCCGCCGGTAATAATCGTACCAAAAAATTATTGAAAGTGAACTTTTAACCGTTTTTTCAGTCGTGATCACTTCGAAAGAAGCGATTTCAACCGTTCTAACAAACGAGCCTGCCTTTGGTCGCGATCGGATGGGAACATTTCATGATGGCACGGCCGGAAAAAATTTGGGAATCGTGACCGGCGAAGGGGAAATGTGGGAAAAGTCGAGAACATGGACGTTCAAGAATTTAAAAGAGTTTGGGTTCGGAAAATCGTCCGAAATGGAACATTTTTGTGCAGGCAAGGAAAATAACTTATGAGTTCTTACAGTGTCGGACAGATGTCTACGTCCACATAGTCGCGTCAATTTCATTTTCAAATTGTCACTGAACTACTGAACCAATTTTCATCATTGATATATCAAATTCTCACAAATTTAACGTAATTTCATAGCACATTATTAGTTTTCCGCTAAAAAATTTTAGGCCAGAGATGTATTTTAATTCAAAATGAAAACAATTGGATGGACAAAAGTCAACGTCCAGTCAGAGAAAACATACAAAAAAAACTGTAATTTATAAGGAATGTTATAACAATTAATTTTTAATATTTGGTTGGGCCTCCGTTCGCTTTAAGGACGGATTCAAGGCGTCGAGTCATAGAGTTTACCAAATTCTTGGTCACATCTTCAGAAATGGTTTCCCAAACTTCAAGAATTCTGGATTTTAGGCCCGGAATTCCTGAAAAAGATTGTTTTCTTATTTCTCTTTCAATGTGGTCCCACAGATGCTCAATGGGATTCAAGTCTGGAGATTGGGGAGGCCATTCTAGCTTCGAAATTTTTTTTTCTTGAAGTATTCCATGGTGGACTTGGCAGAGTGTTTCGGATCGTTGTCTTGTTGGAAGACAAATCGTCGTCCAAGTCCAAGTTTTCGAACAGATTCCTGGATATTACGGTCAAGTATTCCCTGGTACTTGTATTGGTCCATAATTCCGTCAACAAATTCCATTTTTCCTGCCCCACTTGAAGCCATGCATCCCCACACCATTACCGACCCGCCGCCGTGCTTAACTGTGGGGTTGAGATTTTTTGGATTCAATGCTTCTTTTGGATATCTCCACACTCTACGACGCCCATCTGACCCAAAGACATTGAACTTTGACTCGTCAGTCCATAAAATACTGTCCCAGAATGTTTGTGGCTTGGAAATGTGGTCTCTGGCAAACTTCACTCGTTTGGTTGCATTCCTCGGTACAATAAGAGGCTTCCGGACTGCTCTGTGGGATTTCAAATTTCCCTTGTTCAGTGTTCTTTGGATGGTCCTAGGACTAACTTGTTTGTCGAACATCTCCTTGATCTCGGTAGATAGCTTTGGAGCACTAAGTGAGGGTGTAACGTTGACTTTGTTGAGCACGTGGCGTACTTCTCGGTGAGCCAAAATCGGTTTTCGACCACTTCTGACCTTGTTTTGGACTGAACCATTAGCTCTAAAGTTCTTAATGATTGTCTGGATGGTTGTCCTTGCTAATTTATACTTGGTCCCTATTTGTCTCTGCGACAGCCCCCCTTTTTGTCCACCCTTCCAGTCCTGAATGACAAGATCTCGAATAGCGATAGGAATTTCCTTGCGTGTCGACGCCATCATATTTTTCTGGAAGAAAATTATTTAAAAATTAATGCGGCATATGTTATTGATAGATTTATTAAGTTACCTGATTTTATAAATTGGAGAGATTTTTGTTGTTGACAATTAAAGTGAAGTGGACGTAGACTTTTGTCCGCTCAAATTTCATTCTCTCTCGCTCTGCACTATGATTCTCAGTTTTCCCAGAATTTTCAGAAATAACTCATATGTTTTATGAAATTACGTTAAATTTGTGAGAATTAGATATATCAATGATGAAAATTGGTTCAGTAGTTCAGTGACAATTTGAAAATGAAATTGACGCGACTATGTGGACGTAGAGATCTGTCCGACACTGTAGAAATCCAGTACACTCTTAAAAAAATCAATAACCGTTGGTATTGATACGTGACTCTACCGCGTGGTATTGATCCTGTATTGAATTAATACTACGTGGTAAAAAATGTAATACCAATTAGTATTAAAATTATTACTATGAGGTATAATTTCAATACCGGTTCTATACCAATATGGTATAACCGTTTAATACCAAAGCGGTAGAGTCACGTATCAATACCGTTAGGTTTTTTTCAATACCAAGCTTCTAAGAGTGTATTAAAATAATACCAAGCGGTATTCATATATGGCTCTTCCAAAGTAGTATTGATAATTAATACCTCGGTGTAAACGTTCCACCATATGAGTAGCAATTTTTACGGCCCGGTATAATTTTAATACCGAGAAATCAATACCACCTGCCTATTTTATTACGGAGTTGGTAATAAATTGTTACCGCGCCGGTAATAAATTGTTACCGCGCCGGTAATAAATTGTTACCGCGCCGGTAATAAATTGTTACCGCGCCGGTAATAAATTGTTACCGCGCCGGTAATAAATTGTTACCGCGCCGGTAATAAATTGTTACCGCGCCGGTAATAAATTGTTACCGCGCCGGTAATAAATTGTTACCGCGCCGGTAATAAATTGTTACCGCGCCGGTAATAAATTGTTACCGCGCCGGTAATAAATTGTTACCGCGCCGGTAATAAATTGTTACCGCGCCGGTAATAAATTGTTACCGCGCCGGTAATAAATTGTTACCGAGTTAGTAATAAATTGTTACCGAGTTGGTAATAAATTGTTACCGAGTTAGTAATAAATTGTTGCCGAGTTGGTAATAAATTGTTACCGCGCTGGTAATAAATTGTTACCGAGTTAGTAATAAATTGTTACCGAGTTAGTAATAAATTGTTACCGAGTTGGTAATAAATTGTTACAGAGTTGGTAATAAATTGTTACCTCGCTGGTAATAAATTGTTACCGAGTTGGTAATAAATTGTTACCTCGCTGCAATACAATTATAAAATACATTATTGTAAACCAAATGCCCAACTTTGATATAAATAATTGCAAAAAGTTGAAGAATTTAATAAAATGTGGCCGTAATTTGTATATAAATTTAATGCAAAATAAAATTATTTGCATAACTAAACGATAACCAACCCTGAAATATTCTATTTATGATTAAAATGTCCTAAAAAATTACAATTACAAAAAGCTATCACAGACCGCATTAAAATTACCTGGAAATTACCCAACTTTGATATAAATAATTGTAGAAAGTTTAAGAATCGAATATATAGTCAGGCGTAAGTAATTTATTTCGAAATTAGGTCATCAATAAAATTGTTTGCAGCATTTCTGAATAAAATGTGGGATATAGATGCCGAATATGTGTATTTTACTTTTACTACAATAAGCTCATCAAAATGTAAGTAGATAAGATTATTTCCTTACTTATTATTATTTACTACTTTACTTACTTATTATTTACCTTATTTTCCCGAATATCGACTTTAAACTGTACAGATACGAAAAAGTGCATGTCGATTTGGTGAAATAGGTTGTCGACATGATCAAAAGTATTTGCATACGTTTTCTTGAGGGTTGTAGAGTATTAGTTCTGAATTTGAACGCTCTAGCTCCATGTCGAAAATTCGACACGTCGACATCGTTCCCTTACGACATGGGTTAATTTCACTTGCGACACACTTTTAAGACTTAGCTGAAGCTAGATATCGATTTTCACTGCTCTACGACATGATGAATTTCGCCCGATTTGGACAATTTCGACAAGTTTTTTTTCAATGTTCCCGGGCTTATATCTTGGAAGGGTGCAGATTCAGAAAGCCCGTTCTTTTTGGATTGGATAGATATCAGTTAGGACTGCAATTTAAACTCATTTCCAGCTTTCTGAACGCGCACCCCCGGCAGAACCAGACCCCCAAAGTCGACGTTTTTTGACCGTCGCCGAGTTATAAAGTTGAATAACTTTTTTGTTTATGAACGGATTTGGATGAAATTTCTATGGTAGGTCAACAATCGCATGGGCTACAGTTTTCGATGTGGCGTTTGGCCCTAACCACACTAGGAAAAAACCACACCCAAAGTGGGCGTGGCTCGCCAATTTTTTTATGAGCATGTCCTAAGCACGACAGAGCATGAAATCTGCAAAAATATCATCGGCAATGTGCTCTGGGAATTTTGAGCGATAATTTGGTCATATTTCGCTTAGTGCGTTTGTACCTTTGCAACCAGGGTATGATAATTTATATCGAAATTTAATCATTAAGATAATTATTTGCAATAGTTTTCGAAATATGCTGGATATAGACGCTAGACTGGTTAGAGACACTGACAAATACAAAATATTAGTAAAAATGCTTTACCAAGTTTCGGAAGAGTGTCGATAAAGTCGCAGAATGTTTTGTGAAGCTGTTTCACGCCATGAAATGGACGTTGCGACGAAATGGCTGCGGCAAAGAGGGAACAGTGTTCCACAACGTTGCCGAAAGTGGAGATGAAGTCTTCGTACTCCATCTCGTTGACTTGGTTGATGGAAAAGGGACTCATTTTTTCGAGATGGTCTTTAACTGTATGAGAAACTATTACAAAAATCGAGTAATTGAAAAGAGAGCAGGGATAATTGCACGTTGTGAGTACGAGAAGATGAACAAGCACATGACAGACAACTGCAAATCGGAGCTATGAAAATCACTTGTGCTGATGAAACCAGTGGTGGTTGATCAATAAATCAATAGATCAACATTACCATTAAGTATTACTACATGTGCTCAAGGTCGAAATTTAAGAAAATGTGTATGCAAACTTGTGATGTATGTAAAGCGATGGTGTGGTATGGTGATGCATGGACAAATCAACATCTTGTTTACATCTACAATCATATAAAATATTTATCGCAAGTTTCACAAAAATGGGAACAATGTAAACTTAAGAATTGTTCGAGTTCTTATATCCAACATATTCCAGTCGTCGATATAAAATTCGCCGCAATTGTTACCAACAATTCCATTCCCAAATATCTTGTAAGTGTTTATTTAACGGCACACCATAAAACCTCGTGTCTGCCCATATTGGCATCGTCATCGTCGGACGCAAACCATCCAAAACCGGATTCGGATCATCGGATTGAATCTGATGTCTCATCTCGTGTCTCGCAAAATGGAGTTCATTTGATTCCACGGACTGGATTTATGATCCACTTGAACCACGAGTACATCCATTTCAGTCCGTAAATAAATTCCACCCAAAAAACCAGTGCATTATGGTTCACCCTAATTTCACCTCAAATAACACTCAAACCAATGACGACATCAAATATTGGGCTCATCCTTCCTCCTCTGCGGACCGAGTGAGGTGCATAAAAAATAAAATAAAATGTAGCGCTAGAAAAAAGAGAAAGATTTCGAAGGAGGCAAACTTTCTCCGACTTTCTCTCCAACAGGGTTTCGTTTTGAGGTGCATAAAATGCACAAAAAATTGTGTGCAATATGTGCCCAAGTGATGTGAGGAATTCACATGAATTAGTGACAAAGTTCACTTATTGGGTCTTTTGTGAAAGTGCGTAAAATCAATTTATGGTTATTTAATACAAATATTGTTGTGCTAAAATTCGATAAAGTACACTCATTTAAGTAAAAAAAGCCAGTTCGAAACTGTTTTCTGATTTCCAGCATGAAATAATGTTTGTCACTTAAATTGGGCGAATTGTCGCCAGTTTTTCACGATCAGTTTTTTCACATTCGTCCACTTACACTCATTTTCTCCCACTCCGGTTTGAGCTGAAAGAAAACTGCACCTGAAACACTGCTGATTTAAGTGGTGCATAAAAATTCTAATGTTATTTTTTTCTTGATTTCTTTCTTTTCTTCCCTGTCTCTGGCTCCTCTTTAAATTTAAATGTAGAAATAAAATAAATTTGAAAGAATATCAAAATCCGTTCAATTCGGGGATAGAATAAATCCAGATCAGATAAACGTCCTTCCAGTTGAATACCTCGGTTTCTCCATGACTCAAAAAGTTGGGTCGCTTTCTCTCCAAGTGGAAAAAAATAAAATCTCAATAAAATTTAACTTTCAAATCGTTTCTTTCTACCACGATTCGTACTTTGCATGACACGCATGATTTGTCGTCCTGCCCACACACGTGGTTCCGTTTTGGTCGGGATTGGCCACCCCATCATTTTTGGTGGGATGGACTCTTAGAAATTTCGAAACAAATTGATACGAATCACAAATGTTTGAATGAAAAATTATCAAGGGACCTTGCCGATATCGCAAATATAGCTATAAATTTTTTGTAATATTTGTAATCATTTTTCAATTCGTAAATGTAAGAGTATGATGCCATATAACTTTTTAGGAATAGTTGAAAACTCAAAATTATACATAGGTACATTGTCGTGGGCTTTTTATTTTGTTAATTTCAGCGAAATATCTGTAGGGTCTACCAACCGAGTACTAAAATTTTCTAATGCGACAACCGCTGGAAGCTAACCCCTTAAGTATTTTTTAGAAATTAGTAATTTCTAAGTAATTTCAAATTACTTATTTTCATAAAATATGCACGATTACGAAATTGGTGTAAATACTAACACTATAAATTAAAGTTGCACATTGTTCAACTTTAATTTATCTTCTTCTGATCCTCACAAATATTTTGTTTACGTGATTTCCTTCATGAACTAATTCCAAAAATTATGTATTTAACTTGATCTTTTTTCTGTAAATTATTTATTTTCATAAAATATACGCGATTACCAAATTGGTGTGAATAATACCAAGACTATAAAAATACATACGACTTGTACACACAACTCGCATCAAATCAGAAACTCGCACGAGTGTCAAGATTGTTGATAAAAGTGAAAAATCGGAGCAATTTTTCCAACCGGAAAACGACTGGGATTTTGGAGTAAATTCGGGTGTTTCACGGCCAATTGGATTCTCGTCGTGATGGAGGAGAGGATAAGCGAGGGGGATTTGCGGGGTGGCAATCTCCAGCCCCAATTTTGGACCGCAATTCCTTTGCTATCCTCAACTTTCCCTTATTCTACTTTTCTTGATAGACAAAGAGAGAGACGGCAACACAAAAATATAGTGGTTACGTTGTTCAAGAAATTTTAGAAATTCATGCAATACTAAAATTTGCCAATCTAGTTTGCTTAGTAAATGTTATCATAGATTCATTTAATGACGGCTAATTGTCGTCAGTATCAAATTATTTACAGATTGTTAAATTGAACAAATTGTGTTATTCCTTGAATCCACGAGAGCAGAAGTGTATTTATCAGTACACTAACAAAACTACCACGTAAACCTTAAACTTATTTGTAACCCGAGCTGACCAATTTGTCCCTTAATAACTGCTTCATTTAATCCACGATTAAGGAAAGGTGGCCACTTAGCTCGGAACAAAAGAAACCGAAGAAAAGAGGGCCAGCCATCCCTTAATTCCGGTCCAACTCACCGTCCTAACTTACAACTTGTCATTCACTTTTCCTATTACAAAATCTTATCAGCAAACAAAATCATCTCGTCTCATGACACAATCGATGCGATATTCGATCCATTTGTCGCAAACAATGAATGAAAAGTGGACAAATAATGAAACAGGAATTATTTACCTGCTTGTTTACCACTGTCAAATAGAATTATGTAAGTAAGTACATCCTCACAAAGAAGGAAGAAATCTGATCTCTTGTGCAATGTAATGCACTTAAGCAGATTTTTCCCCAAATGGATTTCGGAGAGGAAAATAAGTTATAAGAATATTCATTTCTGAAAGATACTCCAGGCTAAAATTTCAGGTGCATCAATTACATCTAATTTTGTTACTAAAAGTAATCGCATAGCAAAATAAATACTATCGGCATATAAATTATCCTACCTCAATTATGAAATATTGTCAGCTTTTCAGTCAATTTCGCTTCTGAGCAGATTTGACAAATTGAATGCTTCCATGAATGACTGTCTGACCATGCATCTTGTAAACTAATTTTGTTTGAATTTTTTTTACATTTTTCAATACCTTAAAAAATATTTATGCGACTTAATTTTGAAAGTGTCAATTTGCGAGATTTGCCATCTTCTATAAATACTAATGTCCCCAATACTTTTCTAAGTTTTCATTATTATTATGTGACATGGGTACAGGAGCCAGAAGTTTAAGTGAGTTGTTCAAAAGGGAGCCCTTTTTGCTTTGAGGTCTCAATTTCTTGAGTAAAAGGAGGCGGAACAAGGTTGAGAATTAAGTGGGTTGTTTTCAAGGGTAGGTTTTAAGTACCACCACGATTCATGATCACTAACAAGGAGAAAAAGCATCAACCAACTGTGTATATGTAGATATGCACTCTCTCCTACGTACTTGTTGATAGTGAGGGTTGCTCTTTGTCAAGGATTAAGATCTTAGAAAATGAGAATGAGACCAAGTTGGGGGAGGAAAGAGAGACTTGAGCAACTTCCTTTTTCGTCTCCCTTTTCGTGTTGAGAATAAAGTTCTTTCTTCGCAAATTGTTAATCCCTTCTCTGAGTAATTCAGTTGGTACATCTTGCGTCATTTGTTCTCAACCGGCTTGTTTACTATACTGTACAACTATACTGTACAACTATACTATACTGTATATGTACTATGAAACCTAAGGGTCGAACTACATAATTCGGTAATAAAATAATTACTTCTGTGTATACATATGTATGCACATATACTTATATCTCGTATTTAAAAAAAATTATTTTCTTTAATAGGAATAAGTAGCTGAAATATTTGAAACTTTTTAATCACCCTCGTAAATTTTGTTCACCAACGAACCCATCTTTTAGTCCAACTATAATATTTATTTCCTAAAAAAATTCTAAAAAGGCTTCTTAGCTCAACACAAATGACAAATCTCTACATGTTTTTCCCAAATACTAATTTACTGCAGATCTAGAATTAACGTATTATTTGTCTTTACCATCGTCCGCTGGAAATAACAAAAATAACAACCTAGCTGAAATATTTTAAAACTTTGACCTACTTCGTCTTCGTAATTATACTTACACCTGTGCTTCATCTTATAATCCTAGTTAAATATTTTACTTCCAAACAAAATCTACAACGACTTCTAAGCTCAACAAACCGGACAGATCTCACTATTTGTTTTTCCCTAATTTAGTGTAGACCTAAAATTAAGACTTTTTACATGTAGGATTTGGTCTTGACCTTCGTCCGCTGGAAATAACAACCTACTAAATATGACGGTATCTTGCAATTTACCTCCCGTTAACTTCGGTAATTAAGTAAGAAAATATCCAACTATCACAACTAAATATATAACTTCATATATAACTCCATCTCATTTACAATTTTTCATACTGATATGTTATATTTGCCTTTCATTTTTCAACAATTCTTCAGCTGAACTATCCAAATTCTACAAAAATCATGGTGACATTCCCAATTTTGTTACGTGAAAGTCCATTCAATTCAATTGTTCAGTCACCTCCGAGATTGTGTCCACCCGTGGAACTAAATAAATACCCAACCAGCAGTATCACATTTATGTTTGCTTTCGCCCTCAAATTCACGTCTCACTCCTCGAATTACTTTTACAAATGTTTGTGTATTCAGGACGATCACTGCTTACATGATCACACAATGGGAAACATTTAGTAAAATAAAATTGGAGTGGATTCGGTCGGCTGAA